AGTCAAGGGAGCTCACCATGAAACAACGACAAATCAGAACACGATGTTCTCTGAAATGATAGCTTTTTCATGGCCTGTGATCAGTCCACTACTTCCTGGGGCTAAAGCCCAACCCTAAACCAAAACCCTAAACCTAAACACTCAATACCCTAAACCCTACCTAAACCCTAAATACCCTAAACCTTGAACCTTAAGTTTAAGCCCTGTAAACCGTCAGCCCTAAACCCTAAGCCCGGCTTGACGCGCAGGTTCTAAGTTCCACTGCAGACCTCGCAAAAACGTCGATGCCCCAGCGCAGTGAACCAAGTTTGCGTTTTAATGCAAGGAGTTGGAGACATATTGCAGGTGTTTCGTGGGTTCAAGAAACCAGGTGCAGGGTTTATGGTTTCCCTAAACTCCCAACCCGCGTGTGCTAGGCAGATTGGCACCCCGTTCTACATGTCGCCTGCCGCGAGCTCGGACGGGGTTCCATTAGAATAGATATGGGTAGTTCCCAAAATTAGGGTCTCAGTTTGGTACCCCTAAGTATTAGGCTCCGTAATATAACCTATAACCAAAAGGGGTTCATGATTTCAGAACGGCCCATTTGTAGGTGTGATCTTGTGATCCTCGTAGGATACATATATTCCTCTGTGTACAGAGAGATAGGCGGCAGAGGTTTCTACTACATACCGCTTGTGGATCCCTCATCACCGTATACCCTGCGGACGAAATCCTAACACCAAAGTTCTGCCTCCTAAATTCAACAATGCTCTCAACCCTAGACCTCAAACCCTAGACCCTATACCCTAAGCCCTAAACCTACAAACTTGCTGGAATAGCATTCTTTTTTAGAACTTCTGTGCCCCCCGCGGTCTCCCTGAGCAAAACGGCAATGGTCCAAGTATCCAAACGTTCCCGACCCCTAAACCCTAAACCCCTAAACCCCCCACTAATATTGAAGCCCCTCCCCACCTCCCTGACGTCAAATATTCCCATGCTGGGTTTAGGGTTTAGGGTTTAGGGTGCTGAATTATATTTTGAAGAATTTGTAGTAGTGGGGTGCGGGGGGGTCATAATAGGGGGAGGGGATTATTCGGGTTTACAGCGTAGGGCCTACGGATTTGTGAGCTCTAAGGGTCCAGGTGCCCACAGATGATGGTTCCGGGTACCGAAAAAGTTCAGATGATGTTTTTGGGAAACCCTAAACCCTAAACCAAAGCCCATCATTTGGAAGCTTAGACCCTCGGGAAAACCTATACTCAACACTCGCTGCACCAAAGTGAGGAGCCAAATCATTTCCCGGCTGTGTATACCAGGGTTTAGGGTTTAGGGTTCCCGAAGCCCTAAACCCTAAACCCCGAAGCTCTAAACCCCTAAACCCGCACCCCCGAAACTGAACCATAAACCTTAACACCAAGAATGCGATTCTAGGGTTGCGCTTTCGGCGGACCTCCCCACCCAGTATAAGTGACCATAAGGGAAATTTGTGATTTTATGAGGGTCCTTTTATTTTCAGACTTTAGAGTTTACAGTGGCTACAGCACTATCGCAGGGTGCGGAGTCCAACCAAGGGAAGCTATTCTAGCGAGGTTCTCTATGTGGCCACGCCCCGACATGCGTAGCATTTCTGCGGGAGCCCACTGTCAAAAATGTAGAGTAAGATGATTTCCTCCATTGGGTTATGGTGTTTTATAAGAGGAACAGAACCTTCCTTGGCTCAACCACCAACATGTGCTACACAAGTGGAGACCCAATGAAAAGCCGTCGAACCTGATGATTCCATGATCGCACGCACCCTGCACTTCTCCCCAGTACCGTCAATGAGTTCATCCCTTAATACTCGTACTTATATCCCCACACCAATGAAAATAGCTATGCCACATAAGAGACCGTACATCTCATGGGAAAAACCCTAAACCCCTAAACCCTGAGACCCAGACCCTAAACCAAACGCATGTATTTTGAGCCAGGCCTAGGGATGAAATGCATGGTTTCCTCATAAATCGTAGCTACATGGACAGTGCCCCTACATGACTCGTAACACGGGTCCTGTACTTGAGTTCCTGCTACCTCAGATCCTGAACCCGCCGCACTACCTAAACCCTAGGGATCCAAATAGCCCGACGTAGGCAATATTTGCAGACTTTTGGAACCCAATGTTGGTATTTTTTGGGTAGTTGTCCATTATGGTCCATTTTCGGGTACCTTAAATACTAGGTGCCGTATTATAATAGGGATCCAAAAAGGGACCATCATTGTGACAACCACCCATTTGTATACATTGATTCCTAGGATAACTTCATCCATATCGAGAACCTTGACGTCAACTGCAAATGCCGATGTTCCAAGGATTCTCAAAGCCTCCAAACCACAACACTGTATGGTCTAGGGATTTGGGGATTTGGGGGTTTAGGTTCGGTTCCCCTTAAGTAGATAGATTATGGCTTTGGATATATCATGTAAGGGGGACTATGGGTTTTAAGGATTTGGGGAACTAGGGTATAGGGTTTACCAACGGAGCCCCAGATCCTCTCGACGGGGTGCAATTCTAGCCCTGATCCTAGGGCCGGCGCAACTGTAAACCCTACACTCCACGCCCTGAACCCCAAACCCTAAGCCCTAAAGCCCTAAACCCTAAACCCACTTCCTCCGCCTTGCACGTTGGTTTTGGAAGTGTGGACCCTTTTAGGCCGGATCCCTAAGCGATTTACGGTTTTGTGGTTCAGGGTTCAAGGTTTAAAGGGTCTAGGATTTGGGGTTCAAGTTTTAGGGTTTAGGATTAGGGTTTAAACGGTTCGGGATGACAGCTTTAGGGTTCAGGGTTTGGGGTTTTAGGGTTTAGGGTTTAGGTGGGTTTTAGGGTTTTAGGGTTTTAGGGGTTTAGGGTTTAGGGGTTTAGGATGGCAGCAACAGCAATGGTCCCACCCATGCTTTGAGTGTGGGTCTTTCCTAAGCCACAAAAGTAGACAAGGGCCGAAAAACCTGAAATCCGGTCAAAGCGGCCATTGTTGTACAGACTGGGTAGGACAGAGTTACTGCTGTAGGCTTCAAGGATTTAGGACTTAGGGTTTAGGGTTTAGGGAAATGCAGTACGCCCAGGAGCTTATCAACAGCCACCCCTACAGCTACAAAAGTTTTGCCCTCAGATGTGCTTCATCGCCGGCGCAGACTTTGTGGGAGAAGTTTAGGGTGTGGCGTCTCATTGAACATCCAAAGTTCTGGGACATCCACCTCGGGCTGTTTGGATCCTTACCCTATGGGTCCATCATGCATGAATCATCTTGGGAGTGTCTATGAGCTGTTATTAAGGTTTGAGGGAGTATATTTACCCAAAGGGTCCATGTTGCTGTGTAGTACCTGCTTGTAGTACATACTTGGGCCTTAAAGTAGCTACATGGGACCCCCTTGGGCCCTAAGTATGTATTATATAGCTACATGTACCCTGTAGGTTCTGGACTCTTAGGGTTCGGGAAAGTCCGTAGCATTCCAGGAGCCATTTAAACGGTTTAGGGCCGCGCAAACATTACACTAAACCCCTAAACCTAAACCCTAAACCCTTACGTATGGAATCCCAAAGCCCCCCTTTAAAGGACATTGGTCTACAAAGCAACCTTCAACCCTACACCAAGAGGGGAAACGTCTCTCCAGAGATGGTGCCTATGTTTGCAAAGTCCTGGCTTAGAAAGTGAGTTTGCCAGCTCATTTTTTTGCGCGGATTAGGGGTTGGGGTTTACGGCTTAGGTTTTTGTGTCGGAGGGATGGAGGTTCAGGTCTCTGCGTGTATAGGGTTTAGGGTTTAGGGTTTAGGGTTAGTGTGAGGCCCTGGATGTTTGACTGTGTGGTTTACTCCGGCGTCTCTGTTTGCTTCCTCAGTTTGGGGCACAGGATTTCTGACAAAGTCCAATCATCTAACGTTTACCTTGGCCTGAGTTGTGCTGAGCATCACCGGCCCTGTGAGAATTAAGGTTGCTCGAAAGTAAGAATGAGGGGGGGCAATGTCTGTATACTTGTGGCCGCATTGCGGTCTTTAAAGCCGTGAACCCTAACCCTGTAGCAGCATAGTATGGTGTCCAATGACGTAGCCTGTTCTTCGATGACTCTTTCGGTTGCCCTAGGGATCCAAATAGCCCAATGTAGGTAATATTTACAGACTTGAGGGCCCAATGTAGGTATTATTTGTGTACTTGGATCCCTAGGGTTGGGCTTTACAAGTCTTTAGAGACCTCAACCCTCGGATGCCGCTACCCCAAACAGACATAGATGCTCACGCGGTAGGTTTTGAAAAGTTTGCGGCGACTCTTGGGTCAAACCCTAAACCCCAAACCGCGCAAATAATGAGGGTACTTAGAAAGGAACCACAGTCAAGGACAGTACACAGCAAGGACAGTATATAGAGGACTATTATAGGCGTTAATTATTAGGGGGGGGATACTAGGAATTTATAGACTATAGCTCATACAGTCTTGAAAAAAAGCGTTTGTTTGATTTTCACGTTGGTTTTGGGAGGGTGATAGTTCTGCTTGTGGACCCTCATGTTTTGAAAGGGGAGTACTTGCATTGCTTCGTTTTCCGCACCTCTACCAGCAAACTCCCAATTTAGGAACGGAGTACGTAAGCCCTACACCATAAACCTCTCAGGTGCATTTTAACGGACTGTGCCGTGAACGTGGACTGGTTGGCTTCATACTTTGGGCACGTGGAAGGGTTAAGGGTTTGGGGGTTTAGGGCTTCGCACCAGGTGACGTCATTTAGAAAGCTGTGCTGTCGCGCAATTCTATTAAGCATGAACCATTGTCACAAGGAACTCTGATTGTGCTGCCTTTGAGGAACTTTCACCAAGCTAGCCCTGCAAGGGAACCATACACCTCTGTACTGTATAGCCATGAGGTAGTTTCCCAAAATAAGAGGACCCCAATAGAGACCCCAATGCACTATAATCCTTATTAGGGGGACTGTAGGAAACCCCCATATCATGGCAACTTACTTCTTGTGCCTAATCGCAACTCGGTTGAGCTGCCATGCCTGCGAGTAGCAGCCCATGCAAATTGCAGCTGCTAGCTGTACGGAAAGTGTCCGGCGAATTGCTGGCAGAGGTACCGACACAGGAGCTGAGCACAGTGAGGGCCTTGAAACAACGACTGGCTAGCCTTTGCGATGCAGCACGCTTTCGCCAACGGCTGTTGCATGATGGCAGAGTACTGGAAGATGATAAGAGATTGGACGGCCCTCTCGAGCTGCAGTTGGTTTTGCTGAACTTCATCAATCCTACACACGAGCAAGTGTCAGAGATGGTAAGTGCATCCCGGCGTGGTAGCGTGTCTGAGCTTGAGGAGATACTGTCTCGACCACAGGATCCCAACAACCGCTTTGTTGAGTTTCCTGAGGACTTCCGGCCACTGGGTGCGCTTTCGCCTCTGTCGCCTCTTCAGATGGCAGCCAACTTTGGCGAGCTTGATGCTATGCGTCTCCTCCTCGAGGCTCGAGCAGACATCGGGCCGGCCCACTGCAGAATCACAAGTCTTATTTATTTGAGGCAACATCGCAGCCTTGATGCCATGAAGCTGCTGCTTGAGGCCAGGGCGGATGCAGGAAACGCACTGTCGACCGCAGCTGCGTTGGGCAAAGCGGGTGCAGTGCAAGTGTTGCTGGAGTCCGGAGTCGAGAAGGACTTGGAAGATAATCATGGCGTGACGCCGCTTCTCGAAGCATGCTGGTCTGGGCATGCGCACGTTGTACATTTGCTGTTGGCTGCAGGTGCGCAGCCAGCTGCATGCAGCAAGAAGGGCATATGCTACCTTTCGGCAAGGCGGCGGCGTGGGCTTGCGCAGATTCCGCAGATGAGTATTCAGCTGCCAGCAGATCTAGTCAGCTGGTATTTAAGGCGTTTGCGGATTCCGCGGTTATTTTCCGTCTCCAGATGGTCACGGGCAAGGCACCGAGTTGCAACGCACCAGCTGGCAAAGCCGCGCTCAAAGTAGCGTGAAGTGCCAAGGACACTGCATCTGATATAGTCTGAGCCCTTGCGGTCATACAATGCAAGCCCTTGAGCGGACGGGGTTGCAGACTTGCCTCATGTGGGCGGTTTCCTTAAGATCATGATCTCCTTGTTTGGAGTTATATTGGGATGGTGGAAAGAAAATGGAAACTACTATTTAGGTTTAGGATTTAGGGTTTGGGTTTATAGTAGAATATAATACCCAAAGCCATATTCTGTGTACTTAAGGGGGACTGTACCCTACAGGGACCCTAACCGGAACATCACAATGTTGATAATCCGCATTGTTTTCTGGGGAGATCTTTCTTATCGGCACTAGTTGTCGTCAGACCGTGCGTCTGATGCTTTGGAGAAGGGCTTAGGACCTCAATATATACACCTTTGATCGGAGGGAAGAACACTCAACCCCAAAACCCTGCAATCTGTATGTTCCCCCTTACGTAGATGGAATATGGAATTCCCGAATTCCATTGTAAGATCTTAAGGGGACTGTAGGCAGTTGGCGTAACAAATTGAATGATATGGTACTGCTCAATACCACTTCTGCAAGACAGGCTTTCCTCCTCCCTTTCATGACGAGCCGCATCTGGGGTTAGAAGGGAATAAGGATTTATATGTAGGGTTTTTATAGGGACCCTATAACAGGGATGGTATTCCCTTATTCCCTAAACTAGCAACCAGCAAGTTTTACAGAATCGGCAGCGTAGAAGCAGCATCCAGCAACCCTGTCACAACGGCGCCTCAATCCCTAAATCGTACATTTTCTTATCGCCCAGGAAGCTCAAATACATTGTGTGTATAATGTGTGTGTACATAAATATATATATATATACACATGTGTGCGTGCGTACATGAACAGGTGTGTGTGTGTGCATATACACACATATGCATATATATATATATATATGTGTGTATTTGTTCTTTGCCATGCATTGATGTTAATTTGAGCGACTCCACAGGTGACGTTTGGGGCCTTGGCTGCGTTCTCTACGAGGTCGTCAACGGCCATAGAGTGGCGATTCTCAGTCGTGTCAGCGTGAGTTCACAGAGTCCTATAAAGGCTTAGGGTTTAGGAGTTTTAGGGATTCGGGTTTAGGGTTTAGCTGTTTAGGGTTTAGCCTCCGAATAGCCAAGCAGGGAACATACTGAGAGGAAATTACGAAGCCCGATCCCCAAAACTGCAACATGGTCGTCGTATGACGGCTTTAGGGTCCTAATTCTGAGTGGTTGGGTTTTCCAAACCCTCTTTCTACCATGCTTTTTCGGAATCATGTCCCGAAGTCCTGATGTGGGACCCAGACTACCTTCTTCTAGAGTGCTGTGGATCCTTTCGGGGTAGGGAGGCAGATGTTGAATATAGCTATTAAACCCTAAACCCTAATCCCCCAACCTAAATCCTAAACCCAAAACCCTAGACCTGAAACCCTAAACTTTAAGGTGTTCAGGCTTGGGTTTTTGGCAGGTGTGGGCTTCGATGGCTTTGGGTTTCAGGAGACAACTTCATGGATTGCCCGCACCACCCCCAAGACTGCCCCCAAAAGGCTCCCTCTTAAAGCCCTAGCTAATTATCGTGAGAACTATAGTCTAAACTCGTTAAAGGGGTGTTATTTATGGGGTATATGGGGTTCCTATCATGGGTTCACGGTTTAAGGTCGGGGGGGGTTGGTAAGGGAACCCATCGCTACAGGGGTTGACCGCAGGTACCAAGGGTTGGGGTATTGGGTTTGCTGTAGGTAGCAAGGGTTTGGGTATTCTGCTTCGGGCTACTGACTACCTAGACCTCTACAGCCTACCCTTTCTTTAGCGCACTTATAATTTTGTAAAAGAAAAGATGTTGGACATAAAGTTGTGTATCCTAAAACGGGGCAGGGTATCGGGGTCCAGCTAGTCATCTACTTAGAACCTACTTCATGTGGTGTTCTTGAAGAAATGCCTCCGTCTGGGATGTATTTTATCCGTTTGTCTCTCTCTCTCTCTCCCTCTCTCTCTCGCTCTCTCTCTCACGCTCCCTTCCCCCTCTGTATGTAACCCTCTTGTAAACCAAGTTTAGTTTCATGTTCCGTTGTCTTTTCCTTGTCTTTTCCATTTGGTCCTCCGTCAGTGGGCCGTATATCCCTACAGTTGCCCTGAATCGGCTTAGAAGGATGGCCTATCCAAGGTATGGACCCCTAGTGAGGGCCTTGAATCCTTGGTCCTATATACGGATGATATAACCTAGAACATCCCAAGCAAGTGCCAGTCTCCAGGACACAGGAGAGCGGCTTAGGGTTTAGGGTATAGGCCGCTGAATCCTAAACCCAGGACGTAAACCCTAAACCCATAGGCCCATATTGGGGAGAGCTTAAGCCTGCATGAGTGATGTAGTCTGATGTAGCTAGCAGGTTCGCCCCAGCCCCTGCCCGCTGGACGCTACACTCCCGTTTCCTGAACTCTAAGCCCTACAGTCAAAGTGCCCAAAAGGTAGGATGAAGGAAGGTGGGGTATAGGAAATGAGCCCCAATATAGTAGAGTGAGTATATACTGTGGATCCTTTAACCCACCTACCTTCATCCCACCTTTTGAGCCCCCTGATACTGTGATCCCTACTTCGACCCTCAAATCAAGTAGATCAAAAGCCCAGAACCCGTAGAAAGCCAAATGCGCTGCTATTCTAAGTACCTGCGGAGCGCAGGCAAACCCCAAAATTTTTCCTAAGGGTCCAAATACCCAAATGTTGGGGTTTCAGATACCCTGAAGCCTTGTTATTGGGGTACTTGGACCTTGAGGGTTTGTTGGCCCCTAAACCCTAAAACCCTAAACCCTTAACCTCAAACCCTGCTTCCCGTTTGAGGCCTTCGATGCTCAGAGCCTCAACGGCTGCCCGTCTTGCCGTGTGCAGGGTTCATGGTGTGAGGAAGTTAGGGTTTAGGGTTTAGGGTCTTAGGGTTTAGGGTCTGGGGTTTAGGGTTTAGGGTTCATGGTGTTAAGATGTTAGGGTGTTAGGAACCAGGATGTGTGGTTTATGGGGCTGGAGCCTAGGGCTTTACTGTGCGGTTCTCCAGGCTCTATGACGTGCTTCAGAGGCTGGAAGCGTAGATTTGGGTATTAGTTGAACGAGATTGCTGAAGCCTTCCGATCCTGTGGGCTCCGAAAAACATTTGACGGGGGTTCATTGTGACTCGTTGCGCTCGTAAGCCCCAAAGGCATGCTAAACCCTGAACCCTAAACCCTAAACCCTAAACAAAAAAGACACAAACACCCTGCACCCAAGTTCTTCAACCTCATGGACCCTAAACCCTAAACCCTCAACCCCTGATCCCTAAACCCTAAACACCCCACACCCAAATCCTTCAACCATCCGAACCGTAAACCCTAATCCCTCCCCCCTGATCCCTAAACTCTAAACCTCCTTCACCCAAAACCCTCAAGCCCCTGAACCCTAAACCCCCTTCACTCTGATAGGAGCGAAGGCCTTGGTTACCCTAAACCCTAAAATCATAAAACCCTAAACTCCTAAACCCCTAAGCCCCAAAATCCTAAACACCTAAACCTTAAACCTCTAAACCCTAAAACCCTAAACCCTATATTCTATCTACTTAAGTGGGGACTATAAACCCCTTAACCCCTAAACCCTGAAGTTCTACGAAACCCAGGCCTTGCCTTAAGACCCAAAACCCCTAAACCCTAACCCCCTCAAGCCCTAAATCCTAAACACCTAAACCCCTGAACCCCACACCCCTAAAGCTCTAAGCCCTAAACCCCTAAAGCCCCTAAACCCCACACCCCTAAACTCCCGAACCCTAAACACTAAAACCCTAAACCATAAACCCCTAAAGACCTAAACTCCTAAAACCCTAAACCCTTGAAATCCCCAAACCCCTAAGACCCTGAAGTTCTAAAAAAGCCAGGCCTAGGGTTTATGGTTTTAGGCTTTTAGAGTTTTAGAGGGTTTTAGGGTTTTAGGTGGTTTTAGTTGGTTTTAGGTGGTTTCAGGGTTTAGGGAACCTAGGCCTTGCCTTGAAGATCATCAAGGGCAGCTACACGCCAATCTCTGCCAGCCTGAGACCTGGCTTTCGGGATTTTGGGGTGTTAGGATTTTGGGGTTTGGAGTTTGGGGTTTAGGATTTTAGGGTTTGGGATTTTAGGGAGTTTGAGGTTTAGGAGTTTAGGGTTTCGCATTTCAGGATGTTAGGATGTGAGGGTTTTAGGATGATAGGATTTTAGGATATTAGGATGATAGGATTTTAGCATTTTAGGGTGTTAGGATTTTAGGGTTTTAGGATGTTAGGATGATAGGGTTTTAGGATCTTGGGACGTTAGGATTTTAGGAAGTTAGGGATTCAGGATGTTAGGATTTTAGGATGCTAGGACTTTAGCATTTTGGGATGTTAGGGTTTCAGGATGTTAGGATGATAGGACTTTAGCATTTTGGGATATTAGGATGTTAGGGTTTAAGGATGTTAGGATTTTAGGATTTTAGGGTCTGAGGATGTTAGGATTTTAGGATGTAAGATTTTTAGCATTTTGGGATGTTAGGATGATAGGACTTTAGCATTTTGGGATATCAGGATTTCAGGGTTTAGGCTTAGGGGTTTAGGGTTTGAGGGTTTAGGGTTTGGAGTTTAGGGTTTGAAGTTTAGGGTTTGGGGTGTCGACTTGAGGGTTTAGGGTGTGGAGTTTAGGGTTTTAGGTTTAGGGTTTGGGGTTCAGAATGTAGCATCCACATGCAGAGTGACATGGAGATTCTGGGTCGATACGGATATGGAGGGTTAGGGTGTATCTCAAAATGATCCAGTTCTCCAGATACCAGGGATGCTCTGGAAACACAATGCATCAGGGAGTTTTCCTTTGTACCCTTAGGGTTTGTACCCTTGGGTTTTGGGTCCCTAAACCATGGAATATGGCCCTCAATCAGAGTATTTGGGACCCCAAACTTAGGGGTACAAACATTAAGGGTAAAAACTTAAAGTCCTTGAATGCTAGCTGCTGCTTATAACCTCCGCC